ATTAATATGAGAAAAAAGATTGATTATAGGACAAAAACGTCAATGATACCAAATTACCAGGTGTTACCAGAGTTAATAATTTCCTTACATGGTGATAAAATATTCAATTTACCAGAAAGATATAGCAATTCTAAATTTGTTTGTAATTATCTATGAACTTTCAAGATTGACAAAATTACAAGGAGACATTAACAGACTTTCCCTATCAACAGGCAGCCAAAACCCCACAAGAATATACAACATTTGAGCCAGATTAAGAAACACAACGTAATTGAGGTATATACTACACTAAACACAACTGTAAAATGCACATTTTTTTTTCAAGTGCTATTGGAACTTTTACCAGAATTGTCCATAAGTTGGTCCATAAAGCAAGTCTCAACAGATTTCAAAGAACTGAAATAATACAAAGTTTGTTCTCTGACCAGAATGGAATTAAACTGGAAATGACAAGAGCACTGATCTATCAAAACAGAAGCTGGTCCAAGGATTGGTACTAAGTAGTGGAGGCCTCCTGCTGTGGTAAGCATTAACCCTTTAGTTGCTAGATGATAATCAGTAGGTCCTAGCTGTCCTGAGAAAGGAATTGGGGTGGCCAGGGTAACTGGGTAAGTGTTGGAGAGACTAAGAAAGCCTGGGACAGTGCCTATTTACAAAATGGACTAAAAATACTTTAAAAATTCATATGGCCATATGATAGTGAATCTGTGGAACATCAGCCCTGTTTAGTAGGCCAATGATAGAATTGGATACTTAGAAAAGAAGAAAGTGTGAAAATGAAGGAGCTGAGCAGCATGCAACTCTACTAGTTAAAAAAGAACAGAATAAATCCAAAGAAAGTAGAAGAAACAGAGTAATGATGAAAAATAGTTAAATACAAAATAAAGATAACAGAAAAGATCAAAAAGTCAAAAGTGGATTATTTTAGAAGAATTATAAAAGTGACAAACTTATAGCAAGATTGATCAAGAGAAAAAAGAAGGTACAAGTAAACAATATTATAACAAAAGAAAGGCTATCACTACAAACTCAACAGATAAAAAGATACAAAGACAGGAGCTTTACACAAAATAAATCTGAAAACTGATGTGAAGTAGAAAAATTCCTAGAAAACCATAACTTAGGAAAGCTTAAGAAAGCTGATGTTAGTGGAAATAGCAAACTGAAAGGACTCTATAACTGATATAAGAAATTGTATCAGTTAAAATGTTAAAGGAGACACCAGGTCCAGATAATTTTACCTGGAAATGCTGCCAGGCAAAATATTTGAGGAATGGATAGTTCTGCGGACAACCTCTGTCAGAGGACAGAATGAAAGGGAATAGTTCCCACCTGATTTTATGAGGTTAGTGTAATTTTGATACTCTTGGAAGAATTACAGGCCAATCTCTTTCCTGAGCAATACACTACAATCCTAAACAAAATATTAGTGAAAGAAATTCAGACGTTTCTATTTATCCCAGGACTGCAAGATTATTTCAATACAAGAAAAACTCTATTGTAATGTACCATGTTAATAGGTTAAAATAGAAAATTAATGTCATTTCAGTGAATACAGAAAACATGTTTAATAAACTTCAGCAAGGCCGGGCGCAGTGGCTCAAGCCTGTAATCCTAGCACTTTGGGGGGCCGAGGCGGGTGGATCACGAGGTCAAGAGATCGAGACCATCCTGGTCAACAAGGTGAAACCCCGTCTCTACTAAAAATACAAAAAATTAGCTGGGCATGGTGGCGCGTGCCTGTAATCCCAGCTACTCAGGAGGCTGAGGCAGGAGAATTGCCTGAACCCAGGAGGTGGAGGTTGCGGTGAGCCGAGATTGCGCCATTGCACTCTGGCCTGGGTAACAAGAGCGAAACTCCGTCTCAAAAAACAACAACAACAACAACAACAACAACAACAACAAAAAAAAACAAATAAAAATAAACTTCAACATTCATCCATCTTTTAAACATTGTATTGGCAAACTTGGAATAAACAGGAACCTCTTTAACCCATTAAACAGTATCTACCAAAAAAAAAAAAAAACAAAAACAAAAACAAAAAAAACTACAGCAAATTTACTCAATGGTGAAACTTAAAATTGGGATCAGAATAAGAATATACATGATTAACATTTCTTTTCAACATGTACTGCACACCTCTTGTGTATGTGTATTAAAGGTGGGATGCCTTAGCAGTGTAATAATATAAGAAAAAGATAAAACAAAGGGTTGTGGGGAAAATGAAAGCTGTCATTGACATATAAATTGTCAAAACTCATAAGAAAGTTTAGCAGGTTTGCTAGTTACAAATTCATTACATGAAAAACAAGTACAGTTGTATTCATTAGCAACATACTGCTATAAACTTTAATTTTCTAAAAAGGTACTATTTAAGATAGCAACAAAAAAGTCAAAAAATCTAACAATAATGTGCAAGCCTTTTATCGATTAAATTATAAATCTTCACTCAACATGAAAAGGTCTGAATATACGGAGTGATATACCATGTTTAGGGAAGACTCAATGTCACAAAGATGGCAACTCCCCTCAAATTGATTTGATTTACAGATTGTAATTTCCATCAAAATCCCCAAAGTTCTCTCTCTCTCTCTCTCTCTTGCTGTGTGTGTGTGCGTGTGTGCACGCGTGTGTGCGTGCGTGTGTGTGTATGTGTGTGTGTGTGTGTAACCTGGAAAGCTGATTCCAAAATTTACTGGGAAGAGCATTGGGCCAAGAATAGCCAAGACACTCCATAAGAAGAGGGACAAAGTGGACTTGCTCTACCAGGATAAGGGTAAAAGAATGTCCACTGCACTATTGTTAATAATCAAAAATTAGAAACTACCCAAATGTTCAACAACAGTAAGACGGATAAATAAACTGTGATATATTCACGAGGGGAATAAACAAACTACAACTGCATGCAACAATAACATGTGTGGTTCACATAAACATAATGTTGGATGAGAAAAGAATATGCACAGCTGTTCAAGCACTTTACATGTTAATGTATTTCATCCTCAGAATAACATCATTAAGTGTCTATGTGTCTTCTAGAGAGGATGCTCCAAGAAAAGGGTGATTTGGACTTTTCAGGGATCAACAGACTGGCCTCCCTAGGAGAAGGTGAACCAGACATTGCCCAGACTTGGCAACCAATATCTAAGTTTTTTTGCATCTATGGTCTAATAACATTTAGTCAAATATTAATGAATGGCTCTCTTGTGACCACAGAGCCCAATTCCTGGTTATGGTGAGTGGTAGAGTGGAAGTAGCACAGAATGGCCATTTAATGAGCATGTACTATGTGCCAGGATCAGGGCCTGATGTTGAGGATATGATGGTAAATAAGATCACACACCTACTTTCTTGTTTAAACAACAATAGTAATAAATGATAAGTAACAATTATTGGGTATGTACTCTGTGCTGGACACTCTTCTAAGCATGTCACATGCTTTAGCTCATCTAATCCTCACAACTACACTGTTATTAAATTCCTTCTACAGGTGAAGAAACAGAAGCCTAGAGAGGTTAAGACACTTGTCCAAGGTCACAGAGACAGGGGGAGATAGAGCTGGGACTCAAACCTAGGCAGTCTGGATCCAGAACCTCTGAATCAGTGAATTACCCCCAGAAACACTAGGCCATAGGCATTAATCCTGTTTTATAGCCGAGGAAAGTGATGCTCCAAACTAAAGGGAGCACATATTTATTTTTCACCTTCTTTTTGATAGAGACTATATTAGGTGATTTATGTATATTATCTCTACAATGTGAAAGACACAGTTCCCAGGTCTATAAGCATTCTAGTTCTGGAGAACCCATGTATGTAGAGAATGGCTTGCTTGTCACCTAAACCCACATCCCTTTGGAAAAGACCAAGAGTGGCTGGCTGGGTAAGGGTACCTCTGTCTCCAGGCTCCTAGATATCCAGATGAGTAAGTGGAAGAGCTGGTGGAGAGAAGGAGAGAGAACAAGAGCCTAGTCTTTTCTCTTCCTCTTCCTCCACCCACACCCTGTATACTATAACTATATTTAATATCCTATATGCTCCTGGATCCTCTAAGCAACTACTGCTACCCCCAATATCCCTGAGCCTGGGCCTCCTCTAGCATTAACAGAGTAGAAACTTGGTCAGCTGGCCTGTGGGGTGTCTGAATCTTGCAGTCCACAGCTGCCTCATCTTCACCCACCTTATGGCCCCTCAGGCCACAATCCCTGGGCTGGATGCACCTTGGTCCACCACTGTCGCCCATTATCTATGGGAAATGGTATACTCCAGTTTTTTTTTTTTTTTTTTTTTAAATATGTACAGGTTTTGTTTGCTTTTCTTTTGACCTTTATCTTTCTTAAAATTTCAAAGTGAGCACCACACCAGTGGGCTAGCCCTGAGAGACTGTCTCTCTCAAATTCCCAAAGCATCAAGGGGGTCCGTATGTGCCAGGAAGGTAACACTGGAGACAGGACATTGAGTGTTTCCCAACCTAGGCAGGTGCAGACTCAGAAAAGGCCTGAGAAAGGAGAGGAGCAATACTGACCAGTGACATGGCACTGCTGCGTACCCAGCACCTGTCCCTTGAGAGATGATGCCAGGAGTCATCACCTTATTTAACCCAGTCACTATCAGTCAGACAAGACTGACTCCCAGACCCTTCACAGAAATCACCAAAATGAAACACACTAGGCCATCACTGAACAGTCCTAAACTATAAATCTTAAATTCCAAACAAGAAACATTCCAAACAAGTGCCACATAAGGAAAAGTTCCTAAAGATCTCTCTGATTAAAATGGTCTTAACCTAATCCTTTCTCTGTCTTCATCTCTTTGTTTCCGCCTCTTCTCTCTCATTCTTTCCCCACCTTTTTGACACTAGCCTCTATTTCATCCAGTTGTTCATCTATTCCAACTTTTAGGTTGAGGTGGTAGTGGATGGCAAGGGGAGATGCATCCTTTGCTCTTCTATACCCACTTTACCACCACCACCTTGAAACCCACAGAAGCAAACCCCACTTACAGCCCCTTCTCCGTTGCAGCCTGCTGCTACCGCTGCTGTGTGGAATCCAGATCTTCTGTAACCTGGTTTGGGTGAGCTCGCCCATCTCTGGAGACATCTTAGGAGTCGCAGCTAATGACATCACTGCCCACAAGGTACCTGGCCTTACTTCCTGTCTTACTATCTTACTGCTGTGGCCACAGCAGCAGGTGGACAGGGCTGGGATGGGGGGTACACTGGGTTTCTTAGCCCTCTCAAAGTCTGTCTTCAGTCCCCTCTCCCCTTTCCTCTGGTCCTAGCCTGTCTCTGCTCCTGTATGTACTAGTAGGGGATTGGGAGCAGAAAGCGAGAAGTTGGGCAGAGGTCAGGAGAGGCCTCTGAACTCCAAGGGCTGTGTATATAGGAGGTAAGTTGGAGCCCAACAAGGAAGGCAGCCAGCAACACAGCCCAGGTCTGACCAGTCACTTCCCTCCAATGAAGACAAGACTAATACAGTATGCAAATAAAAGACCAAAGATCATGTGCTTACAGCCTGTGTGGGGTAGAGAAGCAAAGGTGATGGAGGTAGGTCTCAGCAGCTTTCCCAGCTTTGAAATAAAAAATGGGTCCAAGGAGAATGTCAAGCTCCAACCCAGAAACAAAGATTCACATCAGAAATGCAAGGTTCCCAAGGACAAAAACACAAACACAAAGTCCCTACTGGGGAATGCAGTGTTTTGAGCTGGCAATTAGAGGCCCAAACTGGACGTGGAAGGTCCACTACCTCTCGGCTTCCCCAACCCAAAATGGCATTGCATCCCTTGTATTCCCTGGATTCTGCTGCCTTCCTTGCCACAGGGCCTCTCCCACCTAAAATGTGTTGCCTGAGGCACTCTTGAAGAGATGGGCACTATCTGATCATCTTCCTACTCTCTCTAGCCAAGTGCTAAATAAATAGGAGTAAACTGACACCTTTGGAAGAGTGCAGCCATTGCGTGGGGCTGGGGGTGGGGGAATGGTAAGCTCTGCCCACACGGCTGCTAGCCACCATCAGATGCCCTAAGGAGAATAACATTGGCATCATGAACTGATAGAAAATTTTGCTCAAGTTCCTCATGCCAAGCCATTGGGATGGAGACTTAAGAGGGTGGAGGTTGCAGCAGGGAGCAGAGAGCAATGGCCTCAGAGTAGGACAAGTCCATAGGCCAGAGCCATCCAGCCCAGATGACCCGCCCTCACTTGCCCTCTCTCCCCCTTCCCTGACCCGTTGTTTTGAGGCTTTTATGTGTAGAACTCATAGACCTGCACTGCTTTCCTGGACGACATCCAAGTATGCTCTTACTTCACTCTTTTGTAACCTTCCCACCCCCAATGAACCTCCAACGATTGGCTACGAGGAAGCTCAACTTTCTTCCAATGAGCTGGGCTACACAAGGGCAATCTCTTGGGGACAGAAATTTCCAATCCCTGCCCTCAAATGCTCTCAGCCCCACTTAGCCTTTTAAGAAGTTCCCTAAAATATATTTGCAAGCCTTAGTCTACACAAGGGTCAGATTCCCTCCAGTTGTTGTGTATAAATCATACCAAATTTTTAATACATTCCAGAGCCCACCTATCTAAATGAATCAACTGAGACAGCAGATCATAATGGTTAAGAGCAATAGGCTCTGAAGCCATATTACTTGAGTGGAATCCTACCTTTGCCCCTTGTTGGCTATGAGACAATGAGCAAAAGACTAAACTTTTCAGTGCTTTAGTTTCCTTATCTGGAACATGAGAATGATAGGAGTGCCTACCCTCCTTAGTATTGTTGAAGATTCAATGTGTTAAAAAATGTAAAGCAATCTCGGAAATGTTAAAAACATATTATCTAACACTGTTACTCCCTGTGGGACGTAAATGATCAGACACCTCTCTGACTAATCCGAAACTTCTAATGTAATGCTGACCATACAGAAAACCCTCAGTTAAGGAAACTTACAAAATTATGGCAAAGGCTTAACATTTATAATACACAAAGAGCTCCTGCAAATCAATTAAAAGGATGAATCAATTTTACTCTTTTGGTTTTGTGTAAAGAACTGTGAGATCATTTCATCTCACCCTCTCAGGTAAGAAAACTGAGATCTAGAAATATTTTCCTAAGCTCATGTAGTAAATCAGTGGCCAAGTCAGGAGGAATAGAACACCGGGGACCTAATTTCTCCCAGGCCAGGGCTTTTCTTTAATTAATCAAATGAGCCTGCTCTAAGAATGTGGTCTTACAGGTTAGCTCAGAACCTCTAGAGTCTCAGAACTAAACTTCGTAAGAGGTACAACTCTCTTAATTCTAATAAATTTCCTAACTGGTATAAATCTGTTAATATTAATAATGTTAATTGTAACCCTTTCCCTGTATGCTTTCCATTGTCCACAAAGCCACAACATATCTGTTCTCTTATTTGATCCTTACAAACATCCTCATTAACCTTACAGGGAAACTGAGGTCTGGGGAGGGGAAATGGCATGATCAAGGTAATCTAGCTGGTCACATGAATGCCTCTTCTATGATTACAATTTTGTCCTCATGACCCTGCCAACAGGCAGAAGGCTAATTTTAGCAGCAGGAAATCTGAGATAGGAAGCTGGCAGGCTTTTGACAAAGTTTGAAAGGGTAAACCTGGGGTCCAGGCTCAAAAACCCAATTTAAAATTGCCTGGAATTAGCTATGAGATTCCTCACTAATGTTACCAATTCTGATCCCAGAAGCAGGAGACCAAAACAAGCTTTATGGAAAGACCTCATCTTGGCACTCAAGACTTCTCAATCAAGCTTTGGCCTACCTGTCCAGCCATGTCTCTCCTTAGATCTCCACGCTTAAACTGCACTGGCTGACTCACTGGGCTCCAAAATACACCGTGTTATCTTCCTGTTTCTTGACTTTTGCTCAGCCTGAAATGCCATCTTTCTCCTTCTATTCCCAACAAAACCTGACTCACTTTTCAAGATCTGGTTCGATGTTCACTTCCTCTGGGAAGTGACCCCTGTCTCCTTGGGACAGGCTTTGTCTTTGGTTCTTATATTGCTTATATGCTCCTATCTGAGAAAGTACCCACCAGTATTTTCCTGGTCTGCTTCCCCACTAGACTGTGAACTCCTTGAGGATGGAGACTGGATCTCAGTGATCTGTTATTTGTGTTTCCAGTGTCCAACTCTGACCCTAGCACAAAGGACAGAGGAGATACTTGCTCGTGTTTGTGCAGTCTACATCTCCCTGCCCTAGATGAGATGCACTTGTGGACAAGTAATCCTAGTTCAACAAGGTAAATATTATAACAGGGAGCTGTGCAGGGAATTGGATGGGAGAATTAACTTGGTCTGAGGTAGGAGGTGGCATTTGGAAAAGTTTTTCTACATGAAATGGGACAGAAACAAATAAATGAATGAATGAAATCCTCTCTGAAAAGGGCCAATGGACTTGTGGCAGAGAAAGGGTTCAGTCAGTACCAGATTCTCATTCAAGACCAAGCTCTGACCTGCAGCTCTTGGTCTAAAATTCTAAAATGAGGCTATCTCTAGGGAAGAAAAGATTATAATGTGATTTCCCAAGGCCCACAGATCCTGACTCTATGGCCCTCCCAAAGCATAGGGCATGTATATGGGGGGAGAATTCCATGTAAACCAGCATATGACAATGCTGATAGGTAATATAATCACGAATGGGGTCTCCCTATTGGTAGCTCTCAGACTGTTTGGGTATGAATGCATTTGTGGAGAGTGAAGGTGTGAGGGGAAATCGACCACACGCCTACAAGCTAGGTGCATGTATTTGAGTGTTAAGCCTTCTGTGGCAGTAGCCTAGGATCCCCCTCCTTCTCAGCCACTGTCCCGGCCCACCATCTCTCCACTATTTTCAGTCTCATGCCTGGACCCCAAACCTCACTGAATCCTAGTCCTAGAAGTAGCTCTTCACAGACCAAAGTTGCACAGGGAGAAAAGGAGCTGGAGGGTTTTGGGTGGTATTCCTCGTGGAGCCTATAGAAAAAACAAGATCACTACTCCTAGACAGAGCAAGGAAGTCCTGAAATGTCTCTAAAGAGCTTTGGTTTCTGTCCTTCCACTCTTTTTGATTGTGACAGCCCTCAGGACAGTTTGCCGAAGACTCTGATTTCCATTTTACTGAGGAAGCTACTGATGCCCAGAGAGCTAGAGAGCTTGTTCAAAGCATCACAGCAAATCAACCCTACTTCATACACCAGTTGGGACATAACAGATATAATCTCAATCACTCAGTTCATTCAAAACCAGACTAGACCAAGTTACAGAGACTTCCAAAGGTGCTAGGAAATTGCCCTGGGGACCAGTGTCCCACAAAGGCCAGAATGGATTTTTAAAAATATACAGATAGATAATTAGATTACATATAATCTTTTCCCTCACTTTCCCATGCCCTTTAATGCACATGCCAACCAACTACCTATGCAAAGAAAACTTTCCAGAGAGCCTGAAGAATGAATATGGATTTGTGTAACTCCTGCCTACTTTCCCTTCTTTTTCACTTACCTTTTCTTCTAGAGGTTTTTTCTTCCATCGCTAATTATCCAGCACTGGGTTCTCTTGCATTTACAGAGCCCCAAGGCAGGTCCAGTGGGTGGCATCAAAGAGGAAGCCTGGAGGTATTCGTTGTTCCCTGAGAAGGCTGAGGATGTACCCTTGTTAAGTGGGGGGGTGTACGTGCTCTGTTGAAATATCAGCTGTTGTAGTTGCCAAAGAAGTTCCTGAGCCACCCGAAGACTTTTCTCTTCAGTCCAACCATGTGTTCACCTTGCCCCAAAGGTCAGAACTAATATTAACAAGCCACTGCAGAATGGGGAAATTAAAACCAGCTATGGAAGCAGGCAAGTTCTGGATTTCGCTGAGGTTCAGTTTCAGATGGGTCTTCAGTGTAAATGGGCACAATCCCTTACTGGAAAGCAATCTGGCAATATGAAGCAAGAGAATAAAAATGTTCATTTCCTTTGTCCTAGTTATTGCATTCCTGGGACTCAATTCTGAGTCAATAACCCCCAAAGCATGAAAAAGCTCAGGACATATACATTTTTATTTTATTCATAGAGCTATTTTCTGATAGCAACAACTGGTAACCTTTAAGTCCTCCAGGAGGAAAAGCAGTTTACTGGATCTTTGCTGTAACCATGGAGGATGATGGCTCTAAGACTGAAATTCTGGGGAAAAAATAATTATGCTGCAATTCTGGGTGAGGACCCTAAAGATGTATCGGTATGCTTTTCCCTGGACATTAAGCATATCCATTACTTCTATTTTTTGTGCTCTCAAAACCAAGCCATGAACCTGTTGATGCTCTTGTTATTGTCCTTTGTTCATTCACTCACCTGACAAATGTCTATTGCTTCCTAATATATGCTGTGTCCAGTATTAGGGGATGGGGCTAACAAGATGAACCAGACATAGTCATTGCTCTCAAGCTGCTGGCAGTCTAGTAGCAGCAGAAATAGAAGTCACTGATAGCTGTTCATTGTAAGTCCTGTGACAGAATGGACCATACGGTGCTGTGGGGCCCCAGAGGAAAAGTCTTACCTGGGGAGGTGTGTGGTCAGTAAAAACACTCAGAAAAGTAATCCTTGAGCTAATTAAGACAGGGTTTGAATCTTGACTGTACTACTTCAGTGTAA